TCCCACGTACCTGCTTCTCTAACTTTTTCAGTTTTATTCCTGCACTATTTATTAAACCCATTCTTTTTGTGTTTTCACAGTCCCTGTTTTCGTCATTAAACCCTGTACATATCACAGTGCAACAACAGCCCCCTCTTTGGGGAAACAAAATAGCTTCACCTACTCTCTTCAGTTTAGTTATGTATCTGTATTCTTAGTTGATCTTTTAATCAGTGAAAGCAGTGTTCCTCTTTACTTTATCCCAACCAGTCATAATATGAAATGTCTTCATCAAATCAGCCTGCAAATTCAATGGTGCTCATGAAAACGGCCACAGACTTTCATTAGCTTTTGTATTTTCTCAATCAGCAACATCAGATTTACTAATGTCCTTGTTTTCTGAACGCGTTCCACACGTTGTGGAGGCTAAAAGTGCTTGCGATACAGTTGCATTGTTACTGTTTATATGGATCAATCCTCTCGTAGAGTCATACAGCGCAGAAACAGACCCTTCAGTCCAACTCGTCCATGCCAACCAAGTTTTCCAAACTAAACTAGTTCCATTTTCCTGTGTTTGGCCCATATCCCTCTAAACCTTTCCTATTCATATATCTGTCCAAAACACACTCAAATGTTGTGACTGTACCTGCATCTACCACTTCCTCTGACAGTTCCTTCCACATACAAACCACCCTCTGTGTGGAAAAAATGCCCCCTCATGTCCTTTTTAACTCTTTCTCCTTGTTATGGACCAGGCCACACCCCCTCAGAATATTTTAAGAAGGTAGCCTAGACTCTAACTTTTTTTCTTATTTTAAAGACAGATGTGATGCAACTGGTCAAACCCCTCAGCTTTAAGCAAAACAAAATTTGTTTAAACACTACAGTTGAAGCATTAACAAGAGAAAGCAGAACTTAGAGTAACTTAACTATTGGAAAACCTAACCGACCTGATACAACAACTTAAAACTAATTAAATGTTCCAATACAGTAACATTGCATAAACACACCACTTGGCAAGAAGGTAAATTCAAACAGATTCTTACAGGCAGGAGGGACCAACATCCAGACAGATTTCGGGGAAAGTCAGGAGAATCCTTTACAGAAGCTTGCAACCCTTGTGGTACTCAAATCAACTTCTGAATGCTTTGCTAAAACAAACTAGAAACAACCTGAACTGAGAACTGGCCACTCCTCTTTGTAAAAACCCAGGACCAAATAGCCTTTTTAAAGTGACTGCATTGTCGCATCCTCTCACCTTAAACATATGCCGTCTAGTTTTGAACTTCCCTACCCTTGGAAAAGACCTTTGTTATTCACTTCATCTGTACCCCTCGTGATTTTATAAATCTCCATAAAGTCGGCCCTCAACCTCCTATGTTTCTGTGAAAAATGTCCCAGCTCGTCCGGCCTCTCCTCAACTCAAACCCACCATTCCCGGCAACATTCCTGGTTAATCTTTCTGCACCCACTCCAATTTAATGACCTGCCTCCTATAGCAGGGCGACCTTTCATAGTAGCTCTTGGAATCTTCCTTTATTTCTGTATGTATATATGTATTTATCTGTTTGGGATGCTGTTTGTGAACTTTAGCACCTCTTCTCCTACAGGGCCAGCTTGTCCCCTTTTGTTATGTATTTTGCTGTGCCTAAAAGTGAATTTGAGATGCATTTGTTTTTTATTTGTCCATTCCATCTTGGTGATTTTTTTTTTGACCCTCTGAGTCCTTGGCTGTGCTTAATTTTTGAGTATTGCCTATTGATTTGAGAAAAACTTCCCACATCCGAATTGAGGTTTGTTTCATAATGTTGTCTCATTTGGACCGTAATGATGGGTGAGCCTTCTTGAACTGGGTCAGAGAGAGTTAGGATATCCTAGGTTCTATCTCCAGCTCGTACTGCGTGAGCAGACTTAAATCCGAGGAAAGCAAAATCATCCAAGTTACTGTCTGGTGATTCCACTCTGTCTCTGCAATCTCCCAACCTTATTTGTTAAAGTTCTGTGCGGAGCCTCACTATTGCTGTCCTGAATTCAGTCAGTAACCCATTTGCCACCTATTTCAGTTCTCCTGCATACAATACTTTTTAGGTTCACCTTGGGTCACCTCTGTGCCAAGTCTGATACTTTTGGCCACCTTTATCAGTTCCATTTTTATATCTCTGTATTTAGTCCTCCATGGGCTCTAGCCGATGAGGCTGTTGTTTTCTTCCTGTTGGGAATGTTTCTGTCCTGGAACAAAAACCGAAATTGCCAGAAAAACTCAACAGGTCTGGCAGCATCTATGGAGGGAAATCAGTTAACGTTTCAGGTCCAATCACTCTTCTTCAGAAGGGTTCTCTTTTGAAGAAGGGGGTCACTGGACCTGAAACATTATTTCTGATTTCTGACCGCAGATGCTGCCACACCTGCTGAGATTTCTTAGCAAGTTGTTTCTGATTTCCAGCATCCATGGTTTTTTTTTTATTTTGTTTCATGTCTGTTCTGGACCTGAGCTTCCTGTTTGATCTCCCATTTATTCACTTACCTACAAATCAGACTCATCACCATGGAGAAGGAGGCCATTTGGCCCATTGAATCTTTGATTCCTATCTACCTGCCCCCACCCCCATCCCGGTAACCCTGCATTTCCCATGGCTAACCCACCGAGCCTGCACATGCCTGGATGCTATGGGCAATTTCCCATGGCTAACCCACCGAGCCTGCACATGCCTGGATGCTATGGGCAATTTCCCGTGGCTAACCCACCGAGCCTGCACCTCTTTGGACTGTAGGAGGAAACCAGTCCACCTGCAGGAAACCCATGCAGACACGGAGATTATGCAAACTTACGGTCACCCGAGGGTGAAATCGAACCCGGGTCCCTCGTGCTGTGAGGCAGCATTGCTAACCACTGAGCCACCGTGCTGTTCTGTTACTGAATTTTAACCATGAAGTTTCGGTCTTTGATCCCTTGTTTGCTTCGTTCATTTCTAGTGTCTCTAATAATATCTTTGACTAGCACTTGTATCCACATGCTGTCCCCTGACCCTCTCCTTTCTGAATAATTTCTGTGGGAATACTAAGTTCCCAATCCTCTCCTTTTCGAGATAAGTAACTGTGTTCATTCTGTTGTCTCAATCTCACATGGCTGTTTGCACCTCTGTGCATTTACTGGACTGAGCTATCAACCCACTGTCGTCTGTTTCTCTCAAGGCTCCTTTTCAGTTTGTTATTTCTGAGCTGCTCTTGCTTTGAATGCTGCTTTGTTTTCTTCCCTGTCCTTTCTACACCTTGTTTCTCCTCTTAGATGCCACATTCTCGTGCTTGGAGCATTGAGTACAAAAGTTGAGATGTCACATTGTGGCTGTGCAGAACGTTGGTGAGGCCACTTTTGTATATAGTTCTGGTTGCCCTGTTATGGGAAGGGTACTATTAATTTGGAGAAGGTGCAGAAAAGACTTACAAGGATGTTACAGGGACTAGAGGAATTGAATTATAAGGAGAGGCTGGATAGTCTGAGACTTTTTTCACTGGAGCGTAGGAGGTTGAGAGGTGACCTCATAGAGATTTATAAAATCATGAGGGGCATGGATAAGATGAATAGCAAAGGTCTTTTCCCTAAGGTGGGGGAGTTCAAAACAAGAGGGCATAGGTTTAAGGTGAGAGGGGAAAGATTTAAAAGGGACCCAAGGGGTAACTTTTTCACACCGCATGTGGTTCATAAGTGGAATGAACTGCCAGAGGAAGTGATCGATGCAGCTACAGTTACAACATTTAAAAGACATTTGGGCAGGTACATGAATAGCAACGCTTTAGAGTGATGTGGGCCAAATGCAGGCAAATGGGATTAGCTTGGTTTGGGAAATGTAGTTGACATGGACGAGTTGGACCAAAGGGTCTGTTGCTGTGCTGTGTAACTGTATGATGTTGCTCCCGAACCTGTTTAGGTGCAAACTCTTCTGTTTTGCCCTGGTTCCAACGCTCGCGGAGTGTGAAGACCCCCTCCCCACCTCACTAATTTTACAGTCTCGTATTAACCTCCTGTATCCCAGTGTATCTGAGATGTACAAAAACTGCCAAGGATAATTGGGTCCTAAAAATGCATTGGTGGTGATGAAGAAACAGTAGAGATTTTTCCTGACCAAAGTGGCGACGACTTCTTTCTGTTGTAAAGACAAAATACTGTGGATGCTAGAAATCTGAAACAAACATGGAGAACATTGGAGAAACTGAGCAAGTCTGGCAGCATCTGTGGAAAGAAAAACAGCATTAATGTTTCAAGTCCCATGTGACATCAGAAGTTCCGAAAGAGACTCCTGCTGGACTCAAAATGTTATCTCTGCCTGTCTCCAGTGTTCTGTGTTTTTTTTTGTTTATACTTCTTGTTGAAATTGGGTAGTATTATGTATCAGATGACTGCCAGGAAGAGAGATCCTGGAACCATTTGTAAGCCAGATTACAATGAACACAGCCTGTCTTCCTAACTTGTCAACTGCAGGGAGTGTAGTCGTTTGTCATTGGTGAAAATTCCTGCGCTGTCTCTTTTCAATAGCTGTTCAATTAGTTTCACTTCTCTGCTCTTTTGCTCTATCTGTGCAATGTCCTTTCTCCTTCTCAGTTCCCATTTACAAGTTAATATTGAATCTGCTTCTCCTGCACTGCAATCCAGATCAATGATAATTAGAGCGTTCAGCCACTGGGGGCTTCTGTCATTTAGAAGATGGCTTGTGTAAGATTTTGGTCGCATGAGACTCAGAGTTTTGCTGCTTGTGCAGAATTGTATTTAGATAAATCAAAGGTGCATTTAAAACTGTGCATTGAACTGAGAGATGTGTTGTGTTTATGTGTATGGGGCTGGTGCAGAGTTTCCCAAGTTATTGACTGTTAAAACAAATAGGCAGAAAATTAACTGTGTTCAGCCAGGACTGCTCACTATTCTCTTCTCCACTTTATTTTCCCTTTGCACCCAGGTAAGTGAACAATTCTAAACACGACTCCCTGTGCGTCCTGACTATATTTCCGTCTCTTATTCTTTCTTGCAGATCTTACAGTCCCTTTCAGCTCCGACTAAAAACCTGGAAACCACCAATCAGAACCAGCAGGGTCCGGACCCGAGACATTCGAGCGCTGTCTTGTTCACGCAGGTTAAGCAGCTGACCCCCGAAGCACAGCAACACCAGCTGCTGCAGCTCCAGCAGCAGCATCTGACGCAACTGCAACTACAACAGCAGCAACAACAGCACCACCCTCAACTGCACCAGCATCCCTTCCAGCAGCAACAGCAGCATGCGTTCTCCCAGCAGCACCATCATTTGCAGCAGCACCTCCAGAGGTTACAGCAACAGCAGCAACAGCATTTACAACAGTTGCAGCAACAGCGTTCTGTGCAGCAACAGCAGCTGCCGATCTTTGGGCACGATCCGGGCCTCGAAAGTAAGTTGAAGAAAGGGTGTTGTTGGCAGTCATTACGTTGCGACAAATATTTTGTGTCCTTCAAAATATGTCGAAAATGCATTCCCTGTCACTAGATGTCCAGTCCAGTTGCTGCAGTTTTTGGTTGCACTTGCTCCTCAGAATTTAGCGGTAAAAGCAACGGGGCGGCGATGGCCTCATGGTCTTATTGTTAGACGACAAATCTGGAGACCCGGGTAATGTTCTGGGGACATGGGTTGGCAGATGGTGGAATTTGAATTCAATAAAATCCGGAATTGAAAGCACGGTGGCTCAGTGGTTAGCGCCGCTGCCTCACAGCGCCAGGGACCCACGTTTGATTCCACCTTCCGGTGACTGTCGGTGTGGAGTTTGCACGTTCTCCCCGTGTCTGCGTGGGTTTCCTCCGGTTGCTCCGGTTTCCTCCCACTGTCCAAAGATGTGCAGGGTTAGGTGGATTGGCCATGCTGAACTGCCCATAGTGTTCAGGGAAGTGTAGATTAGATGCGTTATAGGGGGATGAGTCTGGGTGGGATGCTCCAAGGGTCGGTGTGGACTTATTGGGCCGAAGGGCCTGTTTCCACACTAACGGGATTCCATTCTATGATAAAAGTCTAATGGGGGCCATGAAACCATTGGTTGTCAGGAAAAACCTGTTTGGGTCACTGATGTCCTTTAGGGAAGGAAACTGCCATCCTTACCTGTCTGGTGTGCATGTGACTCCAGACCCACAGCATTGTGGTAGACTCTCAACTGCCCTCTGGGCAATTAGGGATGGGCAATGAATGCTGCCTAGCCAACAATGCTCACATTCTCTGAATGAATTTTAAAAGAAATTATGTCAACATATCTGATTTCAGTTTTGTCTGCAGCAGTGAAATTGAAGGCTGTAACTGTGAGGTAGGAATATAGGACTGGCTTCTTTGAAGTCCACAAACTCTAAGCTACCATTTTGCATATTTGTATTCATCAACCTGCTAGTTATAAATAGACTCCCTCCGTGACCACCACCCCGCCCCGCCAAAGATAAAGAGAAATCCCACCAGAGATATGTGTTGAATATTTTCCTTGTTTTGAGGCCTGCACACATTATCCCTCCTCCGCTGCCAGGTTGTTGAAGCTCCCCCTGTTTTGTAAATCCCCCATAGCTTTTCTCCAAGCTGCCTTACCCAGCTGTCTAAATTCCAGCTCTCGTAAACACTGTCTTCCTGGGGAAAAAAATATTTTATAGATCTCGTTGTGTTACAGCCAGTTTCCATCACCACCTCCCCTTCTCTGCAACTCTCCCTTGATCCTTTTGCTCTCCAACTGCATGCTCCTTCAACATAAAAAAGCCTCCAAACAGCTTGTCCCTCTTAAAAACTCACCAACCCCACTACTTTTCAGCAATTTCTCATCAGTGTAGTCTCTTTGATTCCATCGCTATTGTGAAGTCCTTTTGAAACACTTGTTTACAGTTTGTTTTGTGTAATTGTGCAACTTATATTGACTGAGCTCCAGACACATAATTGCAGATATCCCTCGTGTATAAAGTCACTAGTTTTGGACCAGAGACACATTTGCTCGTTTATAACCCCAACGTGTATATAGATAGCACCTTTTAACATATGAAGCATCCCAAGGTGCTTGACACGACTATTATAAAGCAAACTCTGACACTGAGCCATGTGAAGAGATGTTAGGTCGGGTGATAAAAGGCTTTAGTCAAAGAGGTTGCTTTTTTTGTTAAGGTGAAAACCAAGGAAGAGATGTTTAGGGAAAGAGTGCCAGAACGGGAATTATAAGCAGCTGAAGTCACAGCCACCATTGGTGGATTGATTAAAATTGGGTTATACACAAGACTGGCATTCGAGGATCTCCAGCATCTCGTTGGGGGATTGTGGGGCTGAAGGAAGGTATGGAAGTGAGTGGGGTGATGCCTGGGAGTGATTTGAAAACCAGGTTGAAATTTTTCACATCTTGACTGCAAGCCTGTACAGGTCAGTGAGCACAGGAGTGACAGGTGTGAACTGGACTTATGGTGGGATACAGGCAGCAGAGTGTTCAGAGAGGAATAGCTGAGTGGCAGAAAGCAGAGAGGGGGGATAAAGGGGTCTTTTTCAGGATGGTAGCTGGTGACTAGTGGAGTTCTGCAAGGGTCCATGTTGGGACCACAACTGTTTATGTTATACATTAACGATCTAGATGAAGGAACTTCAGGTATTCTTGCTAAGTTTGCGGATGAAACATAGATAGGTGGAGGGACAGGTAGTATTGAGGAGGCGGAGAGGCTGCAGAAGGACTCGGACAGGCTAGGAGAGTGAGCAAAGAAGTGGCAGATGGAATACCCTGCAGGAAAGTATGAGGTTTTGCACTTTGGTAGAAAGAATAGAGGCATAGAGTATTTTTCAAACAGGGAAACACTTCAGAAATGTGATGGGACTTGGGAGTCCTAGTTCAGGATTCCTTTCAGCTTAACATGCAGGTTAAGTGGACAGTTCAGAAGGCGAATGCAATGTTAGCATTCATTTCAAGAGGGCGAGAATACAAGAGCAAAGATGTACTGCTGAGGCTGTACAAGATTTCTTGTCAGACCGCGTTAGGAATATTGAGAAGTTTCGGGCCCTGTATCGAAGGAAGGAAGTGCTGGTGTTGAGGGGTTCAGAGGAGGTTTACAAGCATGATCCTGGGGATGAAGGGCTTGTTATATGAGGAATTGTTGGGGATTCTGGGTCTGTACTAGATGGAAGTTTGCAAGGATGAGAGAGGATCTGATTGAAAATTACCCAATACTGCGGGGCCTGGATAAAGTGAACATGAAGGTGATGCTTTCACCAGTAGGAGAGACGAGGGAACCCGAGGGGACAAGCTCAGAGTGAAGAGACGGCCCTTTAAAACTGAGATGAACAGGAATTTCTTCAGCCAGAAGGTGGTGAATCTGTGGTACTCATTGCCGCAGAGAGCTGTCGACACTAATTCATTGAGTGTATTTAAGACAGAGATAGATTGATTAATCTCATCAGGAACCTATCAATTCATCTCCTTTTACTGCCGCATGTACTCCATTACAGGAGTACAGTGAAAAACTTTTACAATGTCTGTCTGCCGCCTTGTGGCATCTTAGGTACAAGTACCTGGGTACCATTCTTCGATACAGCAGAGGGATAGAAGTAGTTGCTTAATTACAGAGTTGAAAATAGGAAAATATTAAGAGGTTAACATTACAGCGTTCTAAGATAAGTTCGAAGGTAAGGATTGTCCCCTCACACTGGTCTCCGTCCAGGACTCGCTGCTCTGGGGGCTGGTTCCCATGTGCTGTTCCAGGACTCGCTGCC